GGATTCAGCAATTGAAATGAGCCCTGTCAACAAGGCAGATCTTTCAATTTTGGAATAAGATGATTCCCATACAAAGGACTGCTTAATGTACTTTGTGCTTAATGCATAACCTTACTGCTTTGTAATTTTAAAATAGGAAACTTTTTAAAGCAAAAACAAAATAGATCTAGGAGCTGAAAATATGTGTCTTGGTAATGTAACAGAGGCAAGGTGACCACTACAGAAGCCTGCAGAACTAGTTTTTGGTGGGTTTTTTAAAAAATGTAACCATAGATAAAATAAAAAGCAAAGTAAAGGTTTTTTTTAAGCATTGGCATTATGTTATATTGTTGGGTTGGCTTGGTTTCTGTTTGGCTGCTTATGGTGACAAATTCTCTAAAGCTAAGATTTGGAAATTATGATTGGTCTCAAGCCATCTTGCCAGATTTATTTATTCCACACTTTGGTGCAATTTTGACAGTTAGCTTGTTTGTCTGAAAGAAGAGCTTTTGGTTCCTCAAAAAGGAAGTACCAGTAGGTCTTTTTTAAACCTCCTTTTTTACTAAAAACAAAATAGTTAGAAAAGGCTTTTGTATTTTGGGATGTTTTTGAGTGCTTTCCTTGTTGCATAGATACCAGTGCACGTGGATGTTAATGCCCTTCAATGCTAATGACATTAGCATAGATAAATAACCTCAATACTGTTCTAAAAGGAGAAAACAGTGCTTTAAAACATGTCTCTGTTTTTCTGTATACAAATCATTCTGTGCATTTATTAGAAACTATGAAAAAGAAATTAATTGGCCCTCATTTGATATGGGCCTATTCCCCCCCCCTTTTGTTTATTTTCTTAATGGTGGATGCAAAGATCTCTTTCTTGGCTGCACATTTGTTTATTTGCAATCAGACTTCATGCAGTCGTAGCAATCCAAAAGGTTTTTAGCGCAACAACAACCAAGTATCTTCAGTATCTCACCCCTGCCCCCAAAGTATACTTTGGATTCATACAAGAACACTTTGTTCCAAGGATAGCACAACTTTACCAAAATTACTTAAAACAGGAAATCCTCGAAGCTCACACTTTAGTGAAGTTAGGGTGGTCAACAGACTAGGAAGGCTATACATTTTATCTTTTCTGACTAGAGTGAGAGTGATTTTCTCGCATACTGCTTTTTTTTTGTATATGCAGACATAAACAAACATAGTTATGTATGTGCGTTAACCCTGTGCAATAAGAAGCATTTTAGAGACAAACTATTCTTAAATAGAAAGGCAGGATATGTACTTATTTATTAAAATACATTTTTGTATTTTAACTGCAAACATGAATACAATATTCTCTCTTTTATGTTTAAATGCAGAAGAATCTTTTTTTTTTTAAAGAAAGCCTTAGCGACTGAATAAACTGATTATACTTTTACAAGCAAAACCTCAGTCTGTCTCATTGGACAATAAACCATTGTCCTTACCATTTCATTTTTGACTGAGAGCCAAGCAATTAGTTATAATTATTATTCCATGCAACCCACAGTAGTTACGTAGCTGTGTCATATTTACAATTTTTAAAAAGCAACTGTTTATGTACTTATTTCCTCAAAGAAACTGAAATAATTTCCTTTTTAATTGCTTCTAAAAAAAACCTTGAATGCTGCAAACTGATAATTTCTAGTCCAAAACACTCCTTTTCTATTACTTTGCCATCATCTCAGTATCCACAACAGAGCATGAGGCACCACCTGAACAGTGTGATATTCCTCTTCGCCCAAGTTGTGAGACTGTACTCTTGCAACTATAAAAGTATAAAGTAATTAAAAGTTATAGTTACACTGCAAAAGAACCAACGTTATCACTCAATATATTACAGTGAACTATAGGACTTCATTGTAAAAAGGAATGAATCATAAGAAACTAGTTATTTACATCTAGTTATACGCTTCGGCTACTTATGGAAAGATTAAATGAAAAATTATGGTGAATATAGTGTTCTGATATTGTTTTTCAATCCAGAGATTTTTACAGCAATTTGTCACCTTCCATTTTGTCATACATTAGAATAGACTGAAATTCCAGTCCATTAGGAACCATGAACCTTGTTGGGGAGGAGAGGAATTATCCAAAACATTTGCACTGCTCCACACTGGGGAAAGTTGCATAAATAAAGGGGCTATTTCAACACGACAGGTGATGCTACACTATATTTTACTCTTGCCAGAACATTACATTATATGCCTATATTGATTTCATTATTTTCAGAACCTCACAGCACAGTTCCATTGGACTTTCCTTTCCATAGATGGTTTATTCAAAAAAAGACCAAAGAAAACTATCTAGAACAAACAGTTATTTGGTATCATATGATATAAAATATAGACTATTAAATTACCTATTAAAAAGAACAGTCAGTCTTGCGGCACCTTAAAAATTAATGAGGTTTATTTGGCATAAGCTTTTGTGGATTGTAGCCAACTTCATCAGAAGCTTGAATACTTGCAGGAAGATGGCTGGTAAAACATAATGATTCTCACATTCATTGTATCTTCAAAGAAACTGAAATAATTTCCTTTTTAATTGCTTCTAAAAAAAACCTTGAATGCTGCAAACTGATAATTTCTAGTCCAAAACACTCCTTTTCTATTACTTTGCCATCATCTCAGTATCCACAACAGAGCATGAGGCACCACCTGAACAGTGTGATATTCCTCTTCGCCCAAGTTGTGAGACTGTTACTGCTATGATGGGAATGGTGCCGGAATCTCTTTACAACACCTTGCTAATCATTCTTCTGTTGCTTGTTTTTTGATGTTCAAAAGCATGAGGGAGATTAGCAAAGTCATGGACAGAGATTTGGGTGTACTTGCTCACAATCTCATTCCTCAATCTTTCATCATGCTTCTTTGCTAAAGCTACAGCTTCATTTTTCTCAGTTAGTAGCAAGCCTATAGTTTAGCCATCATACAAGCCTTCCATGTGGACAGTAAATGGGATGTTCCTCACTCTTTTGATTTTTATTGGGATCTATAGATGAATATCCATGGCAAAGTCTGAGTCAAAAGCTGAGTGAGAATCTATTATGGATATTATGACTACTCCTCTTTTTGGTCTAATCTATATTTTTTAGGAACATTCATTATGATGCACAGAAAATCTAGCTAGATTTTTTAAAGATGCTGTAAGAAGACTTCTTAAGGCAATAGGTTTGCACACCTGCATATGTATCCAAATAATCAATATTTTTTGTTTTATCCCCACAGCATGCAAGAAATTTCAGTACTTCAGCTTTCTGATCAAAGTAAGTGATCCTGATTTTAAAACCAATGTGGGAGGGAATGTACTCTTTTCAGACTTGAAGGGTGTGATATATTATCAACAGATGAAAAATTGTTAAATAACATTATTGGTGTTATTTATTGCAAAACATCATTTGGGGCAGCTAGCAGCAATGTAAAACAATACTAAAATGCAATCAACATTCCAGAAGAGCAGCAATAATGTAAAAACAGACAGGTAAAACTTTAGATAAAACTCATTTAAAAACCACATCTGCTTAGAAAAGGTTTTTACGCTACGTCAAAAATTATCTCAAAGAGAGTACCCACCTAACCTCCTGGGGCCAAAAATTCCAGAATTGCCCTTTGAGTAATGAGTGTCTGAAAAGACTTGGGTTGGGAAATCCTTTCTGAGGGACAGGGCTATCATTCTCATGTTGTCCACTTCTAGGGGGTGTAGTCCAAAAAATAATTTTCAAAAAGCTCTAATCTGGGCAATAGCATAACTAGGGTGACATGACAGGGCCATCTGCCCTGCCCCACAACATGGGGAAAATGCAAACTGGTGATAATCTGAGATAGATAGATGGTTGGAAAGTGAGATATATAAACAGAGAGATAGATAGATAGATGTAGTTAAAGTAATGTAAACAGTTTTTTATACTTTTTATCTGGAAAAATAAAGGAATGATATCTTTCAAATAGAGCATATAAACCTGGATCGCTGCTTGCTTGGAGTGACTTAATTAAGGAAGTATGCTAAGATATTGTACATTAGACAAAATTCTGTTCCTGCTGGTGTAAATGTGTCGAGTGTTATCTCTGGCAACAAGGAATTGCACTATGCAACTGTGCAATTGGTTGCACATCCCCAGCACAACCAATTGTGCAATATACCAGCAGAAGTGTTTTGGGGATTGCACTTCTGCCTCAGTGCTAGGTCAACTATCGCAGGCATAATCTTGAGTTGTGCACACATAGTTGCACAACAGGAACTTGGTCAGTGTAGTATTTTTCTCTGTTGGCTTTGTACCTATAAACCACAGATCACCAAACTGAAACAATGTTGCAATGAAGTAATGAGAGTGAGGAAAAGGGAACACCAGAAGGGAGCAAACTGATGAAGTCATGTGACATTAAAAGCAATATTCACCAGGTGTCCATGTGCTTTCACCAGAACTAAGATTTGACAATTCAGCTAAAATATCCTTTCAGGTATACAGTCATTTTGAACTTGCTGCCAGTGTTCGTTCCAAGACAAAATGTGTGCTTCAAATGGGAAGGTTGTCTCTACCGTTACACTCCTGTTCTTCACAAAAAGGTTGCACATTCCTGACAGCTGATGCATTCATATTGTATTCAGACTGGAGATGAAGTGCTATAAGTGGATTAGGGAAGCACCAGGCATATAGGAATCAGTTCCTTCATGAGAAACTGGAATTCTGCTTTTGCAGACTGGGAGAATATTTCCAGTGGTGGTGAGGAATCTTGGGTTATCATGTCTACACAATTTCTACTCCTGATCCAGAAACAGAGAAAATATATTGGAATCCCAGGAGAGAAATATAAGAGTTGTAGCATCTGCGCAGAAGAATGGAACTGAGTTGTACGCTAGGAGAAGCTCAGTGATATAAGAACTGAGCAGGTTGTGTGCAATAAGATTTCTGACTCAGGTGAATGTGAAAAATAAGCTGAGTTTAACTGAATTTTTTTTTTGAAAGAAGGCCTATATAGAGCAGTGATGGAGAACCTGCTATGCATATAAAAGGGCATCAGGTAGAAGTCTTGACATTTCCAAGTAGAACTGGTAAATATCCCTTCCTGAAAACCCTGGAAAAACTCAAGGGAGGTCATTCTGAGATGTGCATTTGTGTTATTTAAGGTGTGGTTTTCCCAGTTCCACTCCCCCAGTGGGGGAAAAACTTTCTTCAGTGAGCATGTGGCGTTTGAAGATCTGAGAGATTGCCTGCATGTTTTCCAAAAGATGCACCCTCATTTTTTGAAATTAAATAAGGAAGAGTTTTGTGTTAGCAAAGATTTTCATGAAAAACCAAGGTAAAAATCATCTGTATTATGTAAAAGAAAGACAGTGAGGAAATACAAGGGAAAAAAATCAACTCATTTGAAATGTGGTGTTGGAGAAGAGCTTTACAGATACCAGAGACACCTGGAAAGGCAAAAAAAGTGGATGCTCAATCAAGTCAAACTTGAACTCTCTAACCATGCACATATATAATGGCAATGCAAAACTGACCAGAAAATGCAATATTGTTGTGGGGAAAGGGGGGTGTAGGAAGAGAGAAAGGCCTATAATGGCAATGCAAAACTGACCAGAAAATACAATATTGTTGTGGGGAAAGGGGGGTTATAGGAAGAGAGGAAGACCTAAAATGAGACTGATTGTCTCAGTAAAGGAAGTCACAGCTATTAGTTTGCAAGACCTGAGGTTAACTTACTGGAAAAGACAATATAGCTAGGCAGGGGCAGCAGTAGGAAGAGAGAATAACCTAACATGAGCTGCTGCTCTTTTGCAAGATCTGAGCAAAGCTATTAATGATGGGACATTTTAGAGGCCATTCACTCATATAGACATAATACATCAGAAGTGACTTAATGGCATATATTACTTTGGAGTTTTTTTAAAAATTACCAAGCAGTTGTAGTGACAAGATGGGTGAACTGGTTGAGATTATGACAGGATATAGACACCAAATGTCTGATAACATTGAGTAAGGCTACCCATAGCCACAAAGCAAAACAACAACAATTATTTCACAACTCAAATGGTTGAACTTCTGAATATTTGTTCTCTATTATTTTTAATATCTTAATATTTTAAAAATTTAACTGGATATTTTTAATATCTTAATATTTTAAAAATTCAACTGGATCCTGATTAACAGGTTCAAAAGTTCATATTGTCCCAGTCCTGATTGACAGGTTCAAAAGTTCATATTGTCCCAGACATGGAGCTGATTTTTCCTTTGAAAACTTGGGTCAAGAGCCTGGTCTCAGAAATCCTGAGAGAGTGTTTACTAAAAGCACTCAAGGCCAGAACAAACACAACTGCTCTGTCCTTTTTTAATGCAGAAACATTTTGAATATGCCTTACAAATTGTATGATAATTCCCTAGAGATATATGGCAAAATGTTGCCTTTTCTGGAGAACTGTCACTCCATTGCTTTCTTTAAAGTGAATCGGCTTTTTTTAAACTCCTTCCATAATATCTGTGAACTTTTGTTGAATTATAATTCTCCTGTACCATGCATGCTCAGTTTATAGCAAAGTCATAGTTTTTCAATTTGAAAGGCTTCTTTTGACAACAAATGTTTCAGACCCTGCAACCTGGATTCTTTCCAGATTAACAAAAAGCAGGTGGGGCCAACTATTATCTTTAAAAATAAGCAAGATTGGTCTTTTCAATTTATATGACCTATGTTAAATCTGAGGTTGTTTAGGGTCACCTATTTCTGAATGGGGGTGCAGTTTTACTTAAAAACAACAAGAACAACACCAAAACCCTTTGTCCAAACATCCCCAAATGTGGCACAGAATAGCAGACTGTCTGCTATACCTATGCCAGATTTGGTGCTGCTGATCCAAAGTCCAATTTCAAAGTTATAAATTTTTGTGTCGGCTGCCCCATGTTTAAAGTTGCCTTGTAAAATGTTGATTTGTTGTGCTGCATAATAGTGTAGCTGCACTATCATGCAACTGTAACCAAGCTGGGAGGGAGGGAGCGAAAGAGAGGGAAGAGTTTCATGCCCATCCCCCTTGTCATTGTGTAATGTAGTTTACATGCTGGTAGTGCCATTTGTATAGCAGTATAATCCTCATGTAACTTTGTTGCTGGGATTTTCACTCTGCAAGTATGACATGGGATTTAGGACTTGATAAGATTGGTCTGTCCTCTGATTTTCAGTGAGTGACATCAATTAATCCCTATTCACTTTGTGAACTTAATTTCACAAAGTGAATAATTTCAGGAGTCTTGAAAGAGTCTTGAAAGAAGTGTGTGGGACATGAGGCACTAGAAAAACAATTCATCAACCTTTCAGCTGTATAATTAAATAGAATGCAACTATGAGAATACTGTTAAGTGTTTCCCATTTCCATCAGCCATCACTATGGCTTGCATCGAGGCACTCTTTCTAGGTTCCATTTTCCATAGACTGAGGGAGCACTGAAAAGTTATAGTGTTTTTGTTTTGTTTTTTTTGTTTTTTTGGTCATCTTGCTCTGCTTTTTCAAGCAAATACAGCCATAAGCTATAAACCATAACCAAATAAAATATACATGTGAAGTATTTTGGAAGTAAAGGCAAAAAAAAATACAACCCAGCAGAAAAAATTATGCGCCTTTATCAGATAGTGCAGGAATCAACCAAACCTTCCAGCAGTTCATAGCTCTCTCCCCCTTTGCCTCTCAATTGGACTATACTAACATTCCTTGCACCTTCTGCTAACCAAAGGACAATACTTTCCAAATGAAGGAAAGAGGGAATTTAATTCATGAAGACCACTAATGTTCTTTTGCTATATTCTACAGTATATAGCATTTGTTGTCAGGTGATAACTATAGAATAACAAGTCAATATTAATTTTCTTAAGATCTTTTCATTCATATATTTTTTTGTGTGAAAAAATAACAAAGTAAAAAAAGAATGCCAGTTTCCATTCTAGGCCTTTTTTGTAGAATGTAGATGAGACAAAGTTAAGAGGGAAAAAAAGTTTATAAAGCACGTTTGTATCTCACCCTTCCTCCAAAGACACAGAGGCTGATATCCTGTTGCTTAGCATGGTACGTTGCACTAGAGTTGGCCTATTGAATTAGTGTAGATTTGGTGAGTCCCATTAATTCAAATAGGCCTGCTTGAGTTGTGACTTACAACGTTAAAAAAATTATAGCCATAAAACCAAAATAAAAGTATAAAACAAAATAACAAAAAAGAAAGACAAAAATGTGGTGGCACCTTAAAACCTGGCCCTTATATTTTTAATGGAGCTTTCATGGACAATTCCAC